CTTGTTTGGCCATGACGAGATCTACAAGAAATAGGTGATCCGGTTCAAGGACATGCCGGATAAAAAGGTGTTGATCTAATTACAGTAAACCGGAGGCAGCACCCATAAACCGGTCTTCTACAACGCGGCATCAGATGGATTCTGGCGGTTCAACCAGGGGACTAATGACATATATACCGGTTTAGCAATTTTTTCTCTATAGTGAAGTTAAACCGCCTGGCCTAAGCATCGGAAGCAATTGAAACTATGGATAACTAGTTATGCAGAAACAAATTTCACAAAATCGTGTGACAGCCGCGGATCTACAGCAAGCTCACAAAAACAGGAAATATTTCGAAGACTAAGGCGGAAACAGAAGTGAACCATTGAGCGGAAATGTGCGGGAGATCTATGAGCTTGGATGAGAAATAGCAAGCGGATGCTAAAGGGATCGCTACTAAGCACAGCAAGAGTTCACAGATGCATTCAAGGTCAGAGAACAGCTATGAACGCGCAATGAACATAGCAAGAACATGGAACCCTAAGAACAGATCTAGGTTAAGAAGGAGAGAGAACTTACCGGAAACGGAGAAGATGCGGAAAGACGCCGCAACACTCTGGTATGTTCAGGTTGATGCAGCGGCCCGAGACGAGGCAGAGGTCGCGGTGGTGGCGGAGCTCCAAAGCCGGCGACGTGAGGAAGAAGAAGAAGAAGGGACGAAGGGGAAGAGAAAGGAAATGACCCTTCGGTCTTATTTATAAGGCAACCGAGCTAGGTCAAACGCGCGAATCCAGGAGCTGTCATTAAGAGGGCGTTATGAATTTCATAATGACGTCATGCCGGTTTACAGTAACCAAACTGATGACGTCATGCCGTTTTATAGCAACCAAAAATGATGACGACATGGAGATTTGCCAATTAACAGAAGATATCCAAGACGCAAGATGGTGTGAAGGATTGACATGAACCAGTTCAAATCAATCTGGGGCCTAATGTTGGGGATATTACCACTAGGCGTAAACCGGCCTACTTGGGCCGGGTTAACTTCATTAGTGGCGTAAACAGATGAAGGCCCAAGGCCTGTAGTCGGTTAGAACATGTAGCCATAAACTGGCCTGATGTATGACTTGTATTGTAAGTAAGGAATAGAGAGATACCAACCGGAATACGAGTGTTAGGACTCTATGGACCGACGGGCGTCACCCGTGTATATAAGAGGACGACCCGGTGGCGGTTCAGGACAGACAACCACAACTCGAGCCTAGGCAAAGCTTGTTTGCTCCCTAGCCATCGAGATCATATCAATTCCATCACAACTAGATGTAGGCTTTTACCTTCATCGAAGGGGCCAAACTAGTATAAAACCCTCGTGTCTTTGTGTCCGCTTTAACCCCTTCAAGTAAACTCGTAGCGATGGCTCCACGACTAAGTCCTTTCGCCAGGACATCTGCCGTGACAAATCCACGACACACTCAGAAGGATATCAAGAGTAGTAGTAGTATTTTTTTTCTACGTAGCTCGTGGGGTTTCTTCTTGTTGTAACGAGTCATTTGCAATATCCTCTTTCTTCTCTCGCAAAGTGACTAGGGAAAACCTTCCTCCCCTTGATCTTCACTGGCGAGCCCGTGGATTCATCTCCCCTTCGCCCGCCGCTTCGGCAGCCAGTGGCGGGGAGGGGATTTCTGGTCCCTCGGATCCGGCTAGTAGATAGGTAGAATTTTAATCCTCGCAGCCGCGGTGTTTGGACCGATGGTGGTGCTTCTTCTTTGAGTCGGTTTTTCGGGCTCCGGTCGTCCTTAAGTTTGTCCGTTGGGACTGATTAGATAGAGCTCCGACGTATATTCCTGCCAGCTCCTCGAGGTGGCGAGGTTAGGGTTTCTCATCGTGCGTACGCAACGGCGATATTTGGTGTTAGATTCTTCAGATCTATTCAAGGATTCAACGGCGACGACTACGGCTCCAAAGCGTTGGTCCTTATGGGCACGTGCACAAAGACTTCGCAGCTGTCATCGAAAAGGTGAGGCCGGCTTTGATATGGGAGCGGCGGCAGCGACACGTCGGCGGCTCGTTCTGACGGCGGCAGTGGTCGTTCGGTAGCCCATGGACCTCTTTATAATTTTTATTATGTCTGAGGTGTTTTATGCTTCCGGTGAATCTTTATAATAGATGTGATCCTTCTCCAAAAAAAATGTTCTCTTTCTCCAATCTCATCAAGATCAGATTGCACCTTGCCAATTTTAGATTAATATTTACTGGTGAAAAAATATGCGTTGTATAGTTATTTATTGGGAAAAGATATGGTTCAGCCGGCGAATTATCACGCTCGCGTCCGCCGCCTTGGTTGCACGCCACGCATCTCATGTGATGCGGTGGACCTAGCTCCCACGATCTCTTTTCTGCAATAAGGTCTTTGTTGCAAAAAAAACTGTAACAAGACCTTACAAAATAATTAAATTGTGGCAAGACCTCTGTTGCAAAAAAATTGTAACAAGACCTCTATTGCAACAAAAATTGCAACATGATCTCTGTTACAAAAAAAAACTTATTACAAGGCCTTTGTTGCAAAAATAATCTACAACTTGTTGCAAATTATTCTGCAACTTGACTATGTTTTACAAAACTTTCTCCAACATGACCCGTGTTGCAGAAAATTACTGCAACACGACTCTTGTTGCAACTGTACAGGGTGATGCTCGGCCGCTCACTCTGCCTAATCTGATGTCTCGCGAGGCGGCGGATCTTTTAAAAATATTGCCGGCCGACGCGTAGCAGCGCCGTTATTTTTCGCTACAAATTTTAAGTGCACCATCTGTTCTTTTCAAAAATATCTCAGAATTGGTGTTTTTTCTTGATGCCGCTATTTTGCTTCAATAGAACTAGCAAAAATGCTCCTGTGTTGCAACAGGAGAAGAGAACATATCACAGCCACGGTCGGGCAACCACAAGATGTTGTTCGTCTATTCCTCACAAGATGCCAATGCCGACCGTTGCCCTCCTCCCCTTCGATGTTGTAACAACCCATACCTATTACTTACAACAAAGGACCTATTTTTTTGAATTACTTTCATGTTGCCAATTGTTTCTTTGACATAAAAAAACTTCTATTCTTGTCCACGTTCACAAAGCCAATGCATAGCTCTTCAAAAATCATATGCCTTTTCTACCTCAAATCTTGGCCCCAACATAATTCTTCTATCACATAACCAAGCTCCACCAAACATTTTACCAAAATTTGAAAATTCCTATCACCTACTTCTATTTCAAACCTATTCGAATCAAATTCAAATATTTCGAACCTTTGAAAGATTTGTGGAATCACCTTTTCGCTTTCTTGGATTTTAAAAAATAATTGAGGCAATTTTATGTTTTTAATTTTTTTGAGAAATTTTTGTTTTTAAAATGGAAACTGTTCAGCAACCGACTGGGCTGGCGCACGAAATCTCTCTCTCTCTCTCCCCCTAAGCCTCCCAAACCGGCGCCCAGCTAGCATCTTCTAAATGACATAGTAAGCAGCACAGGAGACCGCGCTCTTCGCGCCTCCCCAGCCTCACGGCCCCGTCGCAGCTCTGGTCGGCGAGCTCTTCGCCCCGCCAACAACCTCCCCGACCGAGCCGGCCATCCCGAGCGCCGACTTCGCTTGCGGTGTCCTCAACCTCATGGCCCTGCCGCCTCTGGCAGGGGAGCTCTTCGCCCCGCTAGCAACCTCCGCGCGATCGAGCCGACCGTCCCGAGCGTCGGCTTCGCCCCATGTAGGCCCACCAACCTTGAGCCCCTCTGCCCTCCGCTGCCTTCCTCTCCTGCTGATGAGAGGAAGCCCATCCCACCGGCCTACTTGCTCACGCGTCATCCTCCTCTAGCCCCGAGCCAACCAATCTCATTTGGTCCCAACTTTGCGCCGATATGGCTGGTTGATACTCGCATAACCTGGGACATGTATGAATCGCTGAGAGGCGGTTCAATGGAGCAAGGTGGGACTATTTATGTGTATTGCTATAGCTCAATTAGCCGCGGCCTTTTACAACGTATGTGACATAGACAATTTTGAGTATGGATGCAGGCCCAGCTAGAAGCCCAACTGAGCAAGGAAAGTAGCTATGCGGAGGCCCTGTCAAGCCACGTACACGAAAATCTAATGCAACGTAGCACAAACAGATAGTACCAACTTGGATAGTAAAAGTAATCAATAAATTAAGAAAAATAATATGGATGAATGGATTAAAAAATTGGAGAAACACACCTTGCTTTATTGGTAGGTATAGATATAGATTGGGTTACATGTCAAGGTCATCAATGGAACTGTCACAACATACCAGCTCAGTTGCTATGCTTGTTGCCATAATAATACAATATGTCAGCATTTTGTGTTGGATAATAGCATGTCTTTACTTTATTAGTTTTGTAGGAAAATGATATCGAGGGAAAGAAACTAAATACTAGATGCCACTAATGAATTTGTGTCTCCACTTTGTGTTTGCGGGCGCGGTTTCTTCTGGCGCAAGTTGTGCAACTATCTCACTTTTTGATACAACTGCTTTAAAAGAAAATGAAGTTGTCATCAACTGATTCAGGTAGGCCGGGGGTTTCAACCTCCGTTTCGGAAAAAGCAAAAATAAAATAAATAAAATGAACTGATTCAGGTCCAACTGAACTCTGATGTCTCTGCAGTTTCCCAGAAAACAGGACTCTGCAAAAGCAGTTCATCCTGGGCACACAACCTCCATAGGCTAGTTGAGTACACATGGCGAGGCAGGTGGCTACAATATGCACCCAACCACAAGAGCTGGATATATCAGACTAGTACCAAAACTTCTGTGCACATTAGTTACATCTTCAGCCAAGAAACACAAAACCTTTCAAGTCCTGATACATTTGTTATGTGCTGCAATCAAGCCGTATAAACCTATCCCACGAATGTTAGACTCAACTTTTACGAGGGCGATACACGGTAGATGGTTTGTGTCCCTTGTCGGTGGTGTAAGCAGTTTTGACGATTTCAAGTCTACGGGGGCAAATTAGTAGTTCACATGGAGTGAGTGACGAAGTAGTTGAAGTCATGGTGCCGGACTCCAAGCTGCTTAAGCCAAGAGTCTGCTGCGCCGAAGAGGGAGACGATCCTCTTATGATCTCCTGTCCTGGGGTTGGTCCACAGAGAGCCCTGTATCTTGTTTGCTGCGAGTCCAAACGGGGCTAGTGATACTGTGTTGGCCTTCTGGTCATTCTGTTTCCCACTGGCAGCTGAGCCATAGGTCATGGTCTCCGGTGTGTGATCTGTTCAGAAACATTAATAATGCCATCAATACAGCTAGTTGCGGTTTGGAAACAGTGTTCAAGGCATGTCACTAGGGCAGCTGTTATTAAGGACTACAGTACCAATCCCTGCAAGGAAAAGCAGGGTCGAGTTCAAAGAATTGGCTTGGTTTAGACTCTCTACTGCGATTATTTTTTTGCTGGGAAGTGGACAGCTGGTGTGTCTAAGTGCGGTTGCACACCATTGCAATCCAAGCAAGCTTACACCACCGATGTATAATAAGTACCTGAAAGAACCCTTCCTTCATGGTAAAACATAGAAATTTCTACCCTTTAAGAAACAACTACAGATCTCTAAGAATAACTAACAAAGTCAAGCTATGTGACAAGAGAGTCTCTTTCTCCTCTTAACTGGGGAAAGAAACTGCTAGCACCTCCTTCTCTCGCAAGCAATTGTCTAATATACTTGAAAGCTAAGACACGGGGCCTTTTGAAACTGGAGATGAAGGTTTGGAAGCAAAATATCAAGCTGAACAAACCCTTGAAGAAAACGCTCATACTCTTGGAAGCTAAGCATCAATTGTTTGTTTGTGTGTGTGTGTGTGTGTGTGTGTGTGTGTGTGTGGTGGGGGTAACATCTCGTATCATACCAATTGGCAGCAAAAAACATATCTTGACATTAATGTATCTAACATGCATCTTTTCTGGAATATAGCAACATAACCAAACACGTTAAGCACAGTGTGCCTTTACCATATATACTCCACGTAATCTGAACACTAGAAACCACTCAATCAAGCGGTCTCAAGCAAGGTAATTGAGAAGCTACAGTTCATTTTGAGTTTCTTCCACCATGGGCCACCAGACTGCCACCCCTCTATTTAAGAATAGTTTAAACATAGACCAACAATCCAGGGAAAGGTTTCCCCAAAGTACATACACATATTCTGCGCTTGTGACCGACATACTTCTGCAGTGCACATTCGCATGTCATGTGACTGAAGCAAACCTTTGACTAAGCTAGCACACTTTTGCATTGATTAAATAGTCAAAGCCTAATATTTTAAGTGAATCAGTTCCAACTCACAGCTTGGTAAAGAAGCAAAGAAAGAGTGCATGTTTATAAGAGTGGTTGGGGAATGGAACTGTCATAATGTCCCATGACCTTGCAGTCATCCTCTTCCAAGCACACTAACCCAATCTAATCGAAATCAGGAGAAAAGATCCACATAGTGCAAAGTAAAATTTGACTCAGTGTGTCTGCACGAACATCTAAACAACACAAATGGGCATCACCCAGAATCTAGGATGATTAGTGACTAGCATCATTGTCACAGGTCATGCAGCAATGGCACAGAGTCCTATGGAAATGATGACGTTCTTGTGCCATTAGAGATGATCAAACTGGTCTAGTTAGTGTCTTACATGCAACAGCAACGTACCTTGAAATGAAGAGGAAATGGTATGGTAAGTTAGGAAGCACGCAGACAAGTCCTTCACATTGCGTTGGTAGGGAATGTGGTAGATAGGATACCTAAATATAGAAGTAGTAAAGATAAATGACAATGTCAAGAAATAACAATTATCACAGAGAATAAAATGAATAGCCGGGAAAGGATTTCTGAACAGAGAAACAACGCTTACTGCCTAGACAGAAATGATGAGAGCACCACGGGTCAAACTGAACATAAACACTTGAATTCACTACAGAACTACAAGTTGAGCACCAGTGGTTGCAATCTAGAATTACAAGCAAGGAAAATAGTATGGCTAGGCTATGCAAGCATGATTTGTGAAGAAACTCTTATGTTGTGTGATTGTTTGTCTGCCAAAATTTCTTTCTTTTAAAGAATAAAACTAAAGGGGGTAAGTTTGATCATACCAGGCAACTGACATCCAACTGACAGGCGAAAGGTCGACACTCTTCAGCGATGTCAACCCAGGAAAGCCCTGGGATAATTCATATACCTGGACGAAACAAAGAGCTAAGAATAGAGATAGCACGACTAGGATAAGCTAGTAGAAGATATGTCATAGAAATTCACCTTATCCATGAGGGGGATCCTTCCATAAGGAGAGCAAACTTCAAAGAACTCAAAGTACAAATGGCCAGGTCGCCTCCTGTTCCCTCCTACCACGTCGCAGTTAAATGAGTCGTCAGATGTTGAGCTCCAGGATCTTGACATCTTCTCATTGTCGTCATCATCGCTCCAGAAGTCCATGCCATAATCCTCACCAAAACTCCTGCAGGCAAAGATAAAACTGGTTCAGCCCACATCCAGAAATCAACATGAAGTCAAAATCAAGCATGGTTGTCTTGGTGCAGACCTGGATGCATTGAGGACTTTGTTGGTGTATAGCTGTATCCCTGACAAGTACGGGACGTAGTACTGAACCACCTTGTCCCCTCCGTGCAGCTGCACGGTGGCTCCGGCGCCGTACGCGCTCCACTCGTAGTACTGCTCCCACAGGTCGGCGAGGTTGAAGTACTCGAGGCTGTCGGCGTCGGCATGGTGCCACGCGTCATTGGACAGCCGGCCATTGGTCTGGATCAACATGATGAGCAGCAGCGTCTCAGTCTCAGATTAAGACATGACAAGTATGCATATCCTGCCCGCCTAGGACTGAAGGGCAGTCATTAATACTGGAACAGTTGAGCAGCGGGCCGGAATTGACAAGCCAAAGGTGGGAATTTATGCCCGCAGCCGTCGCCACCGGGGACGCATCCCAATCAGGCAAGAGGAGGGAGGGAGGCACAGCTTGGCAGCAGTACCAGTAGGTGAATAAATTCTCAAAATGAACAAGGAACAAATATGTATGTACTACTACTAAAGTAGTACTCGCAGTTGTAATTATTCAGCATATCCGGTGCGCGAGCGAAGAAGCGGCGAGCAGTAATTCAGCGGCCATGCCGTCGGAGGAACAGAGGTGACGCGAGCGGATCGGCGGAGGAGTAATGGCGAATCCTGAAACTCCCGAGAATCGTACCGGCGCGGATCGCGTGGGCGGGCGCGGGGTTTACGGGGGAGGGGAGCGTCACCTTGGGGAGAATGTGCGTGTCGACTGTCGGGGTGGTGCAGTCGAGGAAGCGCTGCAGATTGGACGGCGGGCGGCCGTCCTCCACCCTCTGCCCGCCCATGGCCCCTCCGCGCCCACGCGCCTCCTCGCCCTCCGCGTCCACACGACCCTCCTACGGCCACGGCGATCGGAATCGCCCGCTCGCTCGCTCCCGGGGAAGAGGAAGCGGCCGAGCACGAGAGGTGGGAGAGCAGGAGAAGGAGAAGAACCCGAAGGGACCTCGGCGGCGCTGCGCAGGAAGGCGGTATAGGCAGGGACAAGGATTGGCGAGAGGGGGAGTGGGAGGAGGAGGGAGCGAGGGGGGAATGGTGGCTTTATTCGTCGGAGGGAGGGGGGGAAGGGAAGCCGCTGGGCGGGGTGCGAAACCGGCTACGGTTTGCTTTGCGCTCTCTCTCTTCTCTCCTCGCGTTGGCCTTGTCGGACGCCAACGCAAACGCTTCCGTGCTGGCGGTCTCGGTCTCTCCTCATCCCCCCACGTCAACCCGCGGTGGGGGGCGGCGAGTCGAGCCTGTGGCGTGGTCCCCTCCAGCTCTTAGCCGACCCGGTACCGCTAGCCCGCCCGGACCCGTCAGGGCCCGGTCGTCGCGTGCCTCTGCTTCAAAAAATGCAGACTTGATCCGCGGTCCTTTTTTCGAAAGAGGAAAATGGCAAACCGTGACGTGAATCACGTTTCGAAGAGATTTTATTTCAGAGAGATAAGTAAATTGTGAAATACTCCGTTGAAAGTGAAGCGCTGGCGTCCGATAAGATAATCCGTTAGCCCGCGGGCGGACCTGGCTGGATTTTCCCTTCAGTTAAAATACTGCTTTCCAGCTTTGACCCTCTGCCGTCTCGTCACGCATCTCGGTCACGTAGCCAAAGCCACGAACCGTTCAACTCGTCTATTATAGTACGTACTCCACAAGGAACCCTCTCCGCAAAAATAAATAAATGCTCTACACACAAAAGAAAAATGTTTTTTGAGGGCAAAAGAAAAATGTTGTATAGATAGAGGACGGAAAGTTTGCTAAAATAAAGATACAGGACGGAAAGCCACGCCAATTTTCGGCCGATCCGCCGCCGATACCCCCACGCAATAAATTTTGGCTCATTTTCTGAGCTGCTGACGATAAACATATGCTGACTGGATTTTCTTGCCACTGATATGTGATAAACATGTCTTTCTATAATACTCCTTCCGTAAATAAATATAAGAGCGTTTAGATCACTACAATAGTGATCTAAATGCTCTTATATTTCTTTACAGAGGAAGTATATGATACGAATGCTTGTGTGTACTTGATAAAAAGAGTATGTGATAAACATGTTTTTTTGTTTCTAATCCGTCTATTTTGCCGGTGTCGTATGCCTACTTGTTTTAGGGGGTGATGTATACTTTTGGTATTGTTGCTTGATATATGCCGTCAAGTTTTAAATTTGGTTCCCCGCAAAAAGTTTGGTTGTGTGCATCTCCCGGCAAGTAATCTTCTATTGTATACCTACTCCTATAACAAAAAGATAAGCTTTATACTATATTGCTTTGCTAGTCATCTTCATTTATGTCATTTTGTGGAAATGATTGATTAGTTTTCTACGTACGTAGGTGGCATCTTGCTTTCTTGTGTTTCTTGTGCAAGCCGTTTTAGCTGAGGCTCATCCACTCATAAAGTGGGAAATTGATGGATTGGATAGGGTGAAAGCCATATCGATAAGATACGATTTCATCAAAAAAAGATACGTTGTGGATAACTAAAAATAGGTACATATGGGTCACAATTATTAATTAAAATTGGTAGAACGTCCACTTTGCAGGTCTTTGGGTATAGTATCTTGCTAAGTGTCTGACATTTGGTTGTCTAAAATGCACTTATAAATCATGTTCTTTAATTAATTTGGTTCCGCACCTTGTTCGTCAAAGTAAACATACAACCGCATCTCGTTTTTTTCTGAGCAAACATACAAACATGCAATTGCATCTCCTTTCCACCGACATCTTTTTTTTTCTAAACAAACATATTCATTTGAACACATTTTGCATTCCAACAATCGAACTTCATCCCAAAATAAATGACTCGACGCATGCAAGTAATCTTTTGAGTCACTTATTTTGAGATGGAGGCAGTACAAAATCAGTGACCTGACAGCCCCGAGCCGGTTCACGTAGGATGCCACCGAGGACGCCAGGTAATGGACCCAGCATGAAAATTGTTATCCTCCACAAAATGTCCAAAACCATTAGCTGTCCTGGCCATAATTCCAATGAAATCCTTTTGGTCAGATGGTTAGGTTTGGCATGTGTGCTTGGTCGGCACATGCACTGGCCTATCCAAGGCCACCAAGCTGGAGCTTCAGTATGGTCCAAAATAGGCCCCAAATAGTCTTGTCCTATGTGAAGAAACGAAGTGCCCACTTCCAATATTGTGTTCAGTTGTTACTATTCATTCTTCTCAAAAAAAAATTGTTACTATTCATTTTACTGTCTGGAAGTCAAGAGAACAAGAAGAGAAATCTGGCCCCCACCCATTTGATATTTGATACTTCCAACTGCGGGGTGATGTGATGGGGAAGGGTATCTTCATTTGGGAACGCTTGCTTCAATTTTCTTGGAGAAAGCGTTTGATCCTGAATTCCTTCTAGCCTTGCCTGGCTACATTGGAAAGGTGTAATGGAGATGCTGTCCACAATAATTAGTGTGGTACTGGTAGTAGTATAGGCAGCTTTATTCCCATGCCTTGCCTGTTGCGTTTGCTAGTACCCGCTTGCTCCTTGTGCTTTTGTGGCAGTTCCCTTTCTGCCAAAGCTTCCTTGCAGAATGATTTAATGGTGTCGGCCATAAGCCTAGATCAAGAATTCTCAATAATTTCTTATGCTGTCTAGTGAATTTGCGAGTAAATCATAGTAGCTTTAAAATCGCAAGTTGCTATAAGATGGAAACAAAGTGAGACCAAAACAATGCTACATATGAGAGCAAGTCTCAATCCTGATAGCAAAACTGTGGAGTTCGATTTGCCATCATTTAGCCTTCGGACTTAGCAAATTCAGCCCCTCAAACATTCACGGACGCGTCCGATCACGTTAACGAACGTTCAAGCCTTAAATTTTCGTTCTTACAACCGACATCTCAATTAGCACACCTTAAATCCGTACCGACTCAAGTATGTAAATGATGCATTGCACACATCGTCCGGCTACTACATCACAACATGCCATCAGACTATCAAAATTTGCCATGTTTGGCTATGGTGGAGAAGATCATCCACAACTGTCCTTGCCCTTCTCAGCGTCATTGTCGTCCTTCTCGCGAAAGTACCGGTCGAAGACACCGTAGGGATCGAGCCGGATGTCACGTTGCCGGATCTGTCCGCCCTGTCGCTGTCCTCCTTCTCCTTCTTGGGTGGCAGTCCGACCATGGCACATACCACCGATTCTGCTCTCAGACGAGGACACGCGTGTTCCTCCACTGCCGCTTCTTTACAGTGCGGGTGCGGATGGCTTCCTCATATGCGGCTGCCGGCGCGGCCGCATCAGCGGCCTCCGCCATGTCGGCAGCTGTTGGGAAACGTAGCATGCAATTCAAAAATTTCCTACGCTCACGCAAGATCTATCTAGGAGATGTATAGCAACGAGAGGGGGGAGAGTGTGTCCACGTACCCTTGTAGACCAAAAACGGAAGCGTTTGACAACGCGGTTGATGTAGTCGAACTTCTTCTCGTTCCGACCGATTAAGCACCGAACGTACGGCACCTCCGAGTTATGCACACGTTCAGCTCGATGACATCCCTCGAACTCTTGATCCAGCAAACTAACGAGGGAGAGTTTCGTCGGCACGACGGCGTGATGATGATGATGGTGAAGTGATCCGCGCAGGGCTTCGCTTAAGCACTACGTGAATATGACCGGAGGCGTAAACTGTGGAGGAGGGCGCCGCACACGGCTAACAATGTTTGTTGTGTGTTCTAGGCGCTCCCTCCCCACATATATATAGGTGGGAGGGGGAGGGGGACAGCCATGGGGCGCCCCAAGTGGGGGCCTTGTCCAATTCGCCCCCCCCCTACCATCTTTTTCGGAGAGGGAAGGAAAGGGGAGAGAGGAGGGAAGGAAGGAAGGGGGAGGCCAAATTGCCTCCCCTTCCTTCTCTCTTCCCCCTTCCCCTTCCCATTCCTATTCGGCCAGCAAGGGGGGCGCAGCAGTCCATGCTGGCTGCTGCGTTTCCCCTCTTGGCCCAATAGGCTCATATAGTTTGCCGGGGTAGCCCGGAACCCCTTCCGGTGACCCGATACGTACCCGTTACCCCCGGAACACTTCCAACGTCCAAATACTATCGTCCTATATATGAATCTTTACCTCTCGACCATTTCGAGACTCCTCGTCATGTCCATGATCTCATCCGGGACTCCGAACAACATTCGGTCACCAAATCACATAACTCATAATACAAAATCGTCATCGAACGTTAAGCGTGCGGACCCTACGGGTCCGAGAACTATGTAGACATGACCGAGACACCTCTCCGGTCAATAACCAATAGCAGAACCTAGAAGCTCATATTGGCTCCCACATATTCTATGAAGATCTTTATCGGTCAAACCGTTATGACAACATACGTTATTCCCTTTGTCATTGGTATGTCACTTGTCCGAGATTCAATCGTCCGTATCTCCATACCTAGTTCAATCTCGTTACCGGCAAGTCTCTTTACTCGATCCGTAATGCATCATCCCGCAACTAACTCACTAGTCACATTTCTTGCAAGGCTTATTACGATGTGCATTACCGAGAGGGCCCAAAGATACCTTTTCGATACTCGGAGTGACAAATCCTAATCTCGATCTATGCCAAACCAACAAACACCTTCGGAGATACCTGTAGAGCATCTTTATAATCACCAAGTTACGTTGTGACGTTTGATAGCACACGGGTCATTCCTCCGGTATCCGGGAGTTGCACAATCTCGTAGTCAAAGGAATATGTATATGACATGAAGAAAGCTATAGCAATAAAACTGAACGGTCATTATGCTAAGCTAAAGGATGGATCTTGTCCATCACATCGTTCTCCTAATGATGTGATCTCGTTCATCAA